CTAGCCCAACCTCAGTAACCCTACAAACGCCACTGCTGTTTAGTCTTAATTTATGTTGGAAGTGATAGCAGAGCTGTACAATTTAATTTTTCGAAAATCAGAACATGGTATTTTATTTCATCTTAATTTTTGGGGGAAACTTCCCTCATACCACTAGAGGGAGCCCACGTACCACCAGTGGTATGCGTACCACAGTTTGAGAATGACTGCCCAGAACATACGGCCTCAGACCTGATGATGCGATTACAAAATCGATCGTTGACCTGCAGCCTAGGATGTCCTGGGGCCATGTGCACGTATGGACACCGTAATGATGGAAGATGGTGTTTGTTATGGACAAACTGTTTGCACAGAAGTCAGATAATGCAACAGCGTTTGGGTGCAGATAAGGCAGACCATTCCTCCCAGTTACACCCCTCCAGGTCTCACGGTCGTTGCCCACATGAGCCTTGAAGTCTTGAAGCACTTACTTCTAACTGAAGGACTCTGTCTCTAGGTTTTTGTGTGGTGCCCTTGGCCTGTTGAATCCAGCTGTGGGCTCCTCCGCCATCTCCGAAATGTGTACCGACGATGAGGCTGTAAACCTACAGATCACACACAAAAGTGTCAGCGAGTCACTGCGGAGCTTCTGGACCACTGTTCTAGTGCTTTCTGTTCAGCCACACCGGAGGGTTTTTGAGTATGAAAGGCCCGTTAAACGTCAAACCAAATTTAAGTATGGACTTTGACTAAGCCACTCAAAACTTTTTGTTTCTTTGACCACTCAGCCGTGGAGATGTTGGTGTGTTTCCAATCACTGTCGTGCTGCAGAGCCTCTGTGTGCTTGAACTTCAGGCCACAAACTGATGCCCAGAATTGTGTGACTGGTATAGAAGGATACGATAAAACATTAATAATACAAAAATGTTGTTTTGGGATTTTTAAAATAAATTTATTTATTTATTTTTACTTTTTTATGTTTCTTTTTATGCTCCGTGGAACTCCTCTGGCATGTTTGGGAGGGACTGAGAGGAGGGGCTTCACAGCCAAGTCTTCACAGGTGTAATTTGCACAGATCGTGGACACTACCAGCTATCCATCTCTACTGAACGACTTTGTAATGGACGTTTGATCTCGGGATATTTCTTTGCTCTTTCCAGCTTCAATCCAGCACTTGAAGCTGGGTTGGCTTAAAGACATTTGCTCTAAACTAGCTTACTAATTGCACACACATTTGCAGAAGTATCGTGTGAGCTAACTGGATTCCCTGCAGTGCATATCCTTCTGAAGAGTTAGAGACCAGTGTGTTACTGGAATCCAGTTCCCCTCTGCAGCCACATGCTAACGCCTGACTGAAGGAAGCTGTCCATCCTCCGACTCCCTCTCAGGACACTAACAGAGTTCTTTAAAGTACTAAAGCTAACAATGTACTCATGAACACACCAGCACAACATACTGTCTGAATAGTAGTTGAAATAACTGAGAAGGTGTTTCAGGTGATATGGATGAGTTATCTGGATACAGATGCAGTTTCTCCTCAAAGCAGAACACAATGATTACAACAAACATTAAGCAACAGCTGTTCATGAGTTTACTGCACCAATGCCATCCAACCTTCACTTAATTCAGGATTATATTGTATGATTATTCAAAAGCATCACAAAAACATTTTGATGGATTTTGAGCATCACCTATCATTTAGTTTACAACTTTATATTTGGATTTATCGTTTACATTTCTTTAAACTTCTATATTGTGCAAAAGTCTTGAAGATTCATGTTTATCTTCCCAGACTTTTACCTGCTGTGATTATTTTATAACTGCCTTCTGGGCATTATGAAGGTTTCGTCCTTTGGACGTTGGCTGCTTTTTAAATTGATTTTGTAACGGGATGGGAAAAATTACCATAGCAACTCGGAAAAAACAAACCCAAAAGGGTCGCATGACATATTATAAAATAACAGCAATTTACCTGAGCTGAGGTGAATAAACCAAACAGACTGAAGACTTTCTGTTAGTGATGGTAAATACCTCTCCGAGGCTCACTGGAGTGTTGAGCAGAAGGTTGGCTATGGAGTCAGACAAGGAAAGGTTCTTGATCAGGAACTGCTGGAAAACTGATTCATTCTTCAACACGCTGGCCAGAGTGAAGCCTGCACCCAACACACATGAAATAATGTCAACACTTTCATGTCATTCAGTAAAACAAGAGTTTTGAAAGTAACACATATGATGTATGATGTATGATCGAGACGTTCTACTACTGCACTCAGAGGAAACGAGTTTCTTCGCCATCATTCTGCTCGTGGCTCTCCTGCTACATAAGATTAGATTCCCAACTGTGCATATGTTGGTTTGAAATTTCACTGTGGAGCTAAACTGAGTTAATCTTCATTTTGAGGGTCATCACTGGAAGAAGGAAACACACTGTGGCCTGTCCCAGTGCAGGATCTTGCACCGACTCGCTAACACTTTGTCCTCTTTCTCAAAAGGAAATTCGAAACACAAGAACTGTTCCAAAACGGTGAAGCACGGACTTCCACAA